AAACGTCAAATCTTACATACTGCAAGATAATTGCAGAAATGTTTTTGACAATCGCCGCAGACAAGGGCAGATATGAACGGGCCCACATTTGTCCGCGCATTACCAACATCCTTGTTTTAATACTATTTGCAATTCAGCATTTTATGCACCGACTATAAATAAGTGACCTGTGGTTATAATACCACATACACACACAATTAATATCAGACGACCTGCAGTGTTACCGCGGGATATTCGACGCATCCTTATTTTTTATCGACCTCCCTTCCCTGAAAGCTTGTCGTAGGGATGGTAATTATATATATCGTTGAATACCATAAGAAAAACGATTATCACCAAGCCCAGTTGTTATACCCTACAGTATTATTTGCAGTAATTACTTTCAAAGAAATTTATCGTTTAAACATCGGCGTTGGGATTCCAAACAAATGAACTAAAGTTGATAAAATAACTTTTGCAATATTAAAATTTCTCGTTATCCCCTTAAATTATATGATGACATTGTTTATGACGACATAGTACACCTGCGCGACCTCGCCCCTTTTCTATGAACCCTGTACTAATATATTTTACACGGCAGTCTGCATGGCGTCAGGCTAATTCTTTGTCTTGACAGCCAACGTAATGGGAATGTGTCCTTGGATTAACAGCGTGGTTTCTTTAACCACTGAAATTTGTTTCCTGTTATGTTTCTGTTCCTAGCCATAAGTGGAACATTTCGATGCAAGCGAATTTTCTTTAATTAAACAGACTCTTGGCATGGTCGAGTATTTCTATTATCAGTAATAAAACATGTATTTTATATATTAGGTATGTCTCTTATTCTTTGTAGTATTGTTTCGTTGATTACTTATGGTAAATGTTCTTACATGCAAGCTTTATTTGTACAGCGAGATCATCGCCTCAACTTCAACCAGACTACACGGCGCAACAACCCAGCAAATAGCCATCTTCTGCGTGACACTGTACTCTACGTCTGTACCAAAGTTCGAAAGATGGTTGAACTTTCTACGTTCGTGATCAAAGGTTCAACGCTAAAAATAATCCAATACGATGGAGAAATTTCCGTGTTTCTCTCCGCTAAATCATTTGAAACTGACGCAAGTTTCACGATCTCTGCAGTTCCTGAATCTTCTTCAGTGCATCCGCAATAAATTTGTTATTAACCAGCAAAAGACTTGGCACTGTAAATCAACACAAATGTTTCCTTACAACGAGTAAATTTGTGTCTTTCGCCCTGCATTTATTTGGACATTCAACGCGTTCTAAAGCAGCGGTTCTCAACTCGTGGTTCTCCAATGTCTCCTGTGCGACTCGCGTACATTTTTCTAACACCTAGTGCGTTAACCTGCATGATTAAAAACAGTTTCCCAATACCACGGAATACATCTTGATAATGTAACGGAAATTAAAACGGATATTGAACGTGTACAACAAAAAACGTGATACCGTCAACATACGGTCATGGAATTTTAATAAATTGTCCTGATTTGTACGCTTGTGGCCCGCGAATCGAGAAGCAAGTGTGAATTTGGCGCTAGGCCTGGAAAAGTTCGAGAACCCCTGTTTTAAAGTGTTCACTTACATTTTCAGTTACACAGACCTGAAGATGGCTGTCTTCTGGGTTTTTGCACCGTGTGTCCTGGTAGAAGTTTCCCGACGTTTCAGAAGTCCTTTCTGCCTCCATCATTAGGGTGATCGCCCTGATGATGGAGGCAGCAAGGACCTCTGAAACATCGATAAACTTCTACCATGACACACGGCGCAACAACCCAGAAGACAGCCATATTCGGACACACCGCCGCGTAAACCTCAAATCCTACATAATATAGACCTGTCTGTCAAACTGACTCCACAGTAAGGAATTTGACGTTCAGTCACAGTACCCATAGTTCAAATCCCGAGCAGGTTATCATAAGAGAAACCATCACAACAACTGTGCTTTGAAGGTTAAACAGCATGATTTTATCTCTCGGCGATTGGATTAAGATCGTCAAAAACTTCGTACAGAAGAAAACGTCAGATTTCTAGATGGTATCATCAGAATAAGCCTTCTAACATCTTCAACTGTTAAGAAATTCTGGAACAGCTGACAATCGTCATTCTGACACAACTCAGCTCACCCTTTTACGTCAGAGCAGACAACATCCGGCGACAGCTGTAAGTTTAATGTTATTCCGTAGCCACTACGCCACCCCACACTTCGTTTTTATATCCCGTATAATTCAACAGAACACCGCGTTCGTGTATTGAGCCAAGAGCTATTAAAACACAAATCGAATTCTGTTCATCAAATCTGTACGTTCTGTAATAAGGATTTTGCTAAGAGTACGATGTACTGGTGTATTTCGTTTGGCCTCCAAGCGTAGACTATGGCCTCACTAGCAATTCCAGGTATAAATCCACTTAAAATATTTGATTATATCTCGTCTGGCGTAAGGTTATGTTGAATACTTAAGTCCTTGTTTGGCACTTGAAGTATAGACCAATTAGAACGAGAAACCAACAACAGGAACTGGTAAAGAAACGGGCCAAGTTCTTGACAGTCGGACAAATATGAAATCTCAGAAACTCAGTATGATTAATTACCTACAAAATCAAATAAGATGATAGAGTTGCGTCATATTGTGAAAATATATATTTAATTAATTAATCTTGTCCGTCTAATCACAATTTAAAATTTAAAATACCATGTGATGCTCCTTATCGAAACATTCGACTTACATTTGGAACATCACTTTCTCACTACATGTTTCAGTTCTTAGATGAACCATATTCAGATGATTAAGTTTTAAGTTTATATAATTGTAATTTTTACACACCTGAAGATGGTTCATCTAAGAACTGAAACATTTAGTGAGAAAGTGATGTTCCAAATGTAAATCGAATGTTTCGATAAGGAGCATCACATGGTATTTTAAATTTTAAATTGTGATTAGACGGACAAGATTAATTAATTAAAAAATCAAATAGTAAAAAACTTTCAAGAAGTGCTGCACTGCTTTACGTGTGTCTCCACCCGAATTCTTGGTTTTGCAGACGGTCCTGTTAGCAATGTAGAACATTGACTATACGTTCCCACTGACTCCACACAAGTGTTTTTAGTTTTTTATGTTCAGCGTGTTATTACGTCTTTTTGTATCGCGTAACCTAACAGTTAGCTTGCTTGCTGTCAAGTTAAAACAGCTAAAATCCTGTTTGACAAAAAAAATCTTCAGGTTTTAAATGTCAAAGTCAAATTCGTAAATTTCCTGAAAATAGAGAATTCCTGTATCTCATTTTCTCCCTTCACTAAAATACATTTAAAAATATTATGACAGTAAAACATATCTGTTTTTACTCTGATTTTAATAATTATAAATGTATCTTAATTTAAATTACACCATTCACTGTACTAAAAGGAGTATAATTACGTAAGTAATGTCTTGGCATAAAAAGTGACTGAAAAAGTTAGCTGCTCAACTGGTCGACATTTTTCCCATCTTTCATGGAATCCCAAGGTTCATTTTAGTAACTATTCTATAACAAGTGCAAGGTAAATTCTGTCCCTCCATTTCAAATCCCTCTGAGTCTAAGACGAGACGCTGAACGAGCTAAAATCAGCAAAGGCATATATTAGCAACGTGTTCGAAGGTGCGATCAGATATTCATGGCTGTCTTGGAGAAAATCCTTAATTATATGGTGATCCGTAACACCTGTTTGCATTTGTGAATAATCCCTGATTACACAAGAGATAACAATATGGAATGGAGAACATGCACATTGACGGAGTCGGGTGTTCGAGAAGCTACATATCTGACCAACAATCTTAACCAAAAGTAGCCTAATAGATCGAAATGTTACACGTTTAAATATTCTGATGATAAAACACCGAGATTCGCAACTATTATAGGTAAAAGTGAGGAATGAAATAGATTCTGAACTGCACAGTAGCAAAAATTCCACGAATTGAACATCTTTTATTTCGTTAATGTTTTTATTTGTTACTGTTTTTCCAAATATTTGACCTTGTAAGATTATACTAGGCTTTATTATCTGTATTTAAATTAATTATTAATATCATTTTATCTGTTGACGAGACACGTGCGTAGTTTTCTTTGTTACAATAACGAAATGACGTCAGTAGTTAGATTACACTTTTCAGTTATCGAGGAATGAATTCTATTGATGCTTCTAACTTTTAAGTTCAAAAGTCTTAAAAATCCCTTATACATTTCAAGACATAAGAATAAAATTTATTATCTACAAACACTAAATTAAGGTCGTTTCGGTCAGCTCTCAAACGCGTTTTCTACTTTGACGGATAATATAAATTACAAGCATTTCTAAAATTAATGCTGAGGAGAATGTCTGGACCTCAGAAGGATGAATCAACTGAAGAATTTGGTATATTAGGCCATCACATGAAATCAAGACTGTTACGATGGACTAGACATGTAGACCAGAAGGAAAAAGAAATGCATACAGAATTTTTCTGGGGGGAATATGGTGGAAGAAGACTGCTGGAAGGCGGAACATAAAAGTGGAAGATAACATTAAGATGGATGTTGGAGAAGTAGTTTATGTAGTTAGTCGGTGGTTGGAAATGGTTCAAGATCTTGTCCAGTGGGGAGGGACGGGCCTTTAATGAGAGATGTTGAACTTCTACCAGCCGTGTATTAGTTAACTTATTTAGTCAGTTTGTTGGTTATGAAAGGATTTACTTACACCATGATTGTTTGACCATCTGATTATAGTTTAATTAAACACATAATATCGAAACGGCTCGAACATTATGTGTGCATATCTTCGTCTTTAAATGATAATTACATTTTATCAATACCTTCTTCATCGTTTAGACACAGTTATATCTTATCTACAGCCTGCAAATTTACAAATATAGCTGAATAATTCTTTATCTAATCTCAGAACCACGCGTAATCAGACACTTCGAAGCCAACAGTGTCTTCCTTGGGCAGTCAGTGTCATGGTGGCCTCATAAAGTGGTAGGCCCCATACATTTAACAGCTTTGCTGATCTTGCATGTGTCACAGCAGATAACAGCAGGGATGTAGAAGAAACAGGGGTGTAATGTTAAAGTTCCCTTACTTATAATTTGTTCGCGCATTTCTTTGCAGGCTGTTAATTGTTTAATTCTGCATTTAAAAGTGTAAAGTTCTTATAAATTAACAAGGGCATGTACGATGATTGACGCTCATTTATTTCAACCTGCAAATGCGTGCAAGTTTGATCCGGTCATTTTATTTTAACACTACACCCCTGGATGACAGTGAAGGTGTTTGTGGCGCAAAGAGTTTCGTTGTTATTCATAAAGACAAGCCCTGTATTCGGAAACATAACAATGAAAATATACCAGCGTGAACTGCTGAGGTGTATGCACATACTGTTCTGCCTCGTCATACTGGTAAGTATTAATTAAACCAGACTAATTTCTGTACTTCGTGTCCCAGCGTAACTTCGAATATTTAATATAGAACAAATTTATGCAAAGTTAAAAATTAATACTGTACTTCAGGTAAGCCTACATTACCCTTCTATGTCTGTCACATTTACAGCTTAAAGGACATATCTGTCCAACCATCTACGTGGGTATGTCTACTTCATAAATAAGAAAATTGATTTCGATTAAATTTGCTATTGGTAATCTATATTAAACATAACAGGACAAATGTAACATCGATCTGTATAACCCCTATTTTACAAACACAAATGAAAATACATCACTTGCCAAAAAGTAGTCAGCATTCGAGAAATGTTTACATGACAAAAACAATTAAACTGGAAATTAAAATTTTGTCGACATTATTTAACACTGTTTTTAAATACTCTGGTCCGCCTCTTGTCTGAAAAAAATGTTTCACATGAAAAACAGAATCTCAAACTTGTCTGTGCAAGGTAATAGGACTTGGGGGTCATTTCTCTTCCATTCTTCAAGACATTAGCTATTTCCTAACACCAAATTATCATATGAAACAGGTCATATTTGAGGTGGTCGCGACTGCGGGTAAAAATACTGTTGTCTTCTTAGATGTAGCATCACGTAGTCTGTAAAAGTTTCAGAGCAGCTTACTGTCTCCATAATACAATACTTTATTTTCACCATTAAATTCTTTTAGACGTCTACAGAAGACGTGGCATGCTTCGAGATCGTCACCCCTCGTTCAATGAATCCAAAGACTCTATTGTCTCCATATTGTTCAGAGTACAATTTACACTTCAGGTATTACGGGCCGGGTTATTGTACTTGGCTGTCTCAATCAGAGAACGACTGTTCAACTTCAACGCCTTCCTGTATGACTACGTCACGGTGCTGGTTTTCTACCTGATCACAAGCTCCTCCGTCTTCATCGTCGTCTCCGCGGTTGGGATCTGCGCCGCTGTAACCTTCAGGAGACGGTTCTTCGTCGCTGTGAGTATACTAAATACCATATAACTCAGATGACGAAACGTCTGATTACCGTATACCGAATACAAAACTACTGCTCACGTGCATTTTGTACGGATCCTTGTACTACCGCGCAATAAAGCTTTTGTGTTAGCTCTGAGCTTCTCACGGCGCTGAAGATGTCCATAATTTGTTCGTTAATTTAAAAGTATTTATATACACAACTACCTCTTTTCCTTCTTCTCTACGTTTCTTTCCGCGGTGAAGATGTCGATATTCACCTTCTGGGTTGTAATATCGTGTGGATTTGTAGGAGGATAACGTTTCGGAGAAGCTTCCCGCCTCCATCTTCAGGGCGGAAGTCTACATGACGTTATAATCGAGAAGGGTAATACCCACACATGTGTTTCTGATGTTGCAGTACAGCGCAATATTGGCAGTTCTGTACTTGGCAGAAATTGTTCTATTCGGAATCGCTTTCAACGGGTGGCTGAATTTCAACGCGACAGTCGAAGAAGCTATGGATTACCACATCAGCAATTACAGAAATGATTCACGTGACATAGACTACGTCCAGGAAGAGGTAAGTTATCAAATTCGATATGATACATGAACAAAATTACATTGCCCCTACTCCTTTATTAAATTTGGAACGTTCCATTTGGCTCTTCACAATTTAATAATAGAACGTGGAACATTCTAAACACTCGGGATCAAACGAAAAAATTGACAAGTGTGGAAAGGTTACAGAAAGCATTTTTTTCCTTGCATCTCTCTTTGATCCTGATGTTCATTTATTACAAACATATATTAGTCGCTGGTTTGTTCGTCCCATTTTATTCAGCAGAAACTGTCACCAAAAATTCGGAACGTAGAGAACATAAATGTGTCACTACTGACACTAAACCAATATGAATATATTACTACACCTTTGTGAAGAGATGCGAGAATTATTAAACAATTTCAATCACTACATGTATTTTCTGCAGTAGTTTTCTTACTGAAGAAGGCAAAACTATTCATTGCCAGTAACCAAGCAATATAAAAATTAACAAGTATTTGGACTACATAATATTCCTTAACATTTCTGATACTGCGAAAAATTATTTGGAAAATTACATCTTGAATACATTTTGAATAAACAAAATATAAACTAATAATATATATGCATATATAATGTATAACTTTAGCGTTCTTTCATCACGACTTTACTTCATGTCGAAGCAAGAAATGTGATGAAGAAATCTTAGAACTTGCAGTAAAACAGAATAAGAATAAGAGTAAAATCTACTCAAATTCCGGAAACTTTGGGCACAACGTACGAACCCCCACGGTTCGACGGAATCAATTTATGCAACTTTCTTTCACAAGTAGTCTACCTGAGACGACCTGAAAACGTTTGTGTGGACTTCTTTAAACTGTCGAATCTAAATTAACACCAAGATTGTTCGACAATTTTCTGTAAAATTTTCCACTATTAAATTTAAGAAATCGTCGACTTGGTTCCTGTGCACGACGGAACATGGCCAACCTCTATGCCACGTTAGTTGCACACGAAATTTAACCTTACTTTTCACGCCACATTGAAGCCCCACGTGTGCGACAACGCTCTGTCTCAAGTTACGTGCCTCATCTCTGACCCAACACTTGGCTAGTTTCAGTGTAAATATAGTTTAGTTTTAAATTAACTAACCTCCTTATCGAGCAAGAGTTAACAGAATTCTAGTACTTGTCTAAACGTGTGTCCGAGATATATTCCGGATAATGTGTTCACTGATGTACTAACAACTAGAAACCAATATGATAAAACTACAGTAACTTACATTGGTGTGGTTCCATTACCACCGTGTGAGTTGCAATCCAAATGTTTTGTCACACATTGTTCGTACACTGCACATGAAACTAAACGAATCACTGTATATCTTTATATTGCTTCTTGCTTTGTCAAACAACACATTCTTCGCCGAACGAAACCGACTACATCAGTACAATGCGCGCCATTTTACCTCTCGAACAGCAAGACAGCGATTAGTTGTTTTGTGTGCGTTCATTAACTTTGTGCGAAGCAATGTTACCAACTTGAGCAAGGCAATATTATTTGAATGCAGATTCAATATGGTTCATGGCAGGGAACATTCCTTTGTAATGAGTCTGTAATACGCTTCGAAACGGACTTTTAATGAAGAAGCCAAATGTATCACATTCCACTGACTAAACACAAAATTTGAGCGGTTGAAATGACAGAGGACTAAAAGCATACACAATGTTAATTCGCCTGTTAGTAAACATTGAAGTATTTCGTAGTCATCCATTCTATTTTAGCGTGGTTTATAAAACGAAAAATCATCTTGAGTTCCAGTGTGCATGTGTCTGCCATATGGTCTGTAATATATTTTGAAATAATTGGCTGGTTTGCAAGGAACTCAGTGGGTAGTCTTAACAAGTCATCACATTTCTTTAAACTATTCATTCAACGTTTCTTATAAACGTTGAAAGTGGAAGCCACATCATTACAGCTATTTTAATATGTTACTTAAAGTAGTTTAAATATACGATACTGTTTGCAAGAGTAATTATCGTACAGCGCGACTAATAAGTGTATGGGAACAGGTCAGACGAGACCAGACATAACTGAAATGTTTAACTCACACGTATTCAGCAGTGGTTTTACAGTCACTCATGCAGACCATAACAAAAAGAACAGCGTTACCATGGCAACTGTTATAATAATTAATTTCAGACAGCCATAAAGTTATCCCATGGGGTCCAGTGATGCTATGGAAACGAATGTTGGTTTGACTTGGGTGTAGTATGAGTCCATACACATAAGTTATGTGTGTGTTTAGAAACAAGAAACCTTGCCTCATTTATCCGACTACCTGTTTTCAGGATGAAGGCTAACTGCCTGATACTGTGTAGAGGTGTGAAGACTGCTGTCTTCTGGGGTTAGCATTTTGTAATCTGGTAGATACTGATCAACATTTCAAGGCAATCGCCTGATGATGGAGGCAGTAAGTTCCTTTCAAACGGTGGTCAATATCTGCCACATGGCAAGATATTGCATCCTAGCAGCAATCCTTTTTGCTATGCGGCCCCTTTCACATATATTCTGCACTTTGGCTAGTTTTTGGAAAGGAACTAACGTTGTAGGACAATGTTTAATCTTGAACGAACTTTTTGAATAAATACGTAGTTTATTCTACTTCCATTTCACGTATGTACATAGGATTACAGTACACGTTTCTTAAGTCAATGTAAGAGAATCATTATCAATCAGTCCCATGTGGTCTAGTGGCTAGGATACCTGGCTTTCACCCAGGAGGCCCGGGTTCGATTCCCGGCATGGGAATATTTTTTTTTTTCCTTTTTAATTAAATGTATTTTTTTAATATATGCCCATGAGCAATGTTCGTTTCCTTTTTTGTCAATTCCGCTTTCCAACGTTTGCGCAAAACGAATCGGAAATTGTGTCATACTTGTGGAGCAAGTGAATTGTCGCCAACCTGCAGTATGAGATTACAGATTTATTATTTCTCTCCTACACACATGCAAAGTAACAAGAAGACTAACTACATAAAAACAATGGGCAATATATAAAATCTGCATTGTCTAAGAATTGAACTCGGATCACCCATGTGACAAATAAGAATTCTACGTTTACATGAATATCATTAATTGATTATCTTATCTTACTAACAACTTAACGGAAAGCACTTATGGCGTATTTGTTATCTAAATAATAAACCAATTATTATTTGTATACAAACTAGTTAGTATTCTGTATTGATTTGCCGATAAACTTGATTAGTTAACTATAACCTGCACCACTTAAACCCTAAAATGTACAGCAGAAACATTTTTCTCTGTTCTGTACTTACAGAAATAAATCTTCTACTTGTCAATGCATATTCGTGGTACAAACACCCTAACCATTGTGCTGTTGGGTGTCATTTGTTACAGGCTGCCAGGTGTAAGCATGAAAATGGCTGTCTTCTAGGTTGTGCCATACAGTCCGGTAAAAGTTTATCGAAATTTCAGAGGTGCTTGTTGCCAAGTCGTTGAACCAGTCGTCAAGGTGATGAGTGCTAGTGACAGTTAGCCACTCTGAATGTCAGTCACTATCTATGACACTTCACGGCGCAAAATTCCAGAAGACAGCCATTTTGAAACACCACAGGTTTCCTGATCGCAATGTGTGAACCTGTGTGAAGGGAAAAAAACACTCTATGCGGCAATGCAGGCGGCACGGCCCTTTCCAATGTGAGCGATCACTACGTCGGTTAAAGCGTTTCATAATACTAGCGATATAGCCGCCAAATATCCCCAATGTACAAGATTTATTTATTTATTTAGTGTTCTGTCTGACGACAGGTCCGTATGAACAGGATCCTTCCATCCTTTTCTCGGACTGGGACCTGTTCATATACGTTCTTGGCAGATGATCCTGAAGTGGTTTGCCATTGCCTTCTTCTGTGTGTGAATGGAGTAATTGTTGGGATGCCACGGAG